AGATGGTGCGGTTGGACAGAGCCCTCAATACGCACATGTACGAGAGCCCGACGCCCCATAAGCACGCGCGACCCCGCCGCCACCCCCACCTCCACCAAACCCCCGCCCCACGGCCCCCCGCCCTCACGTCTTCCACTGCTCGTTTGTCAGCTTGTCGCCCGGCCCCGGCAGCGGCGTCACCAGGTACAGCAGGTGCAGGTCGCACTCCAGGTTCAGGCCCTCGCGCGCGCGGTCCAGCTCCGCCTTGAGGGCCAGCGCCTGGTCGGGGCCCAGCACGCTGCCCGTGCCGGCGCTCGCGCGGCCGAGCGGCAGGACCTCCCACACGTTGTCTGGCTTGCGCCACCTGGGTGGTGGTGACGCGTAATTGTTTTGGGGGGGAGTGGCCGGGGGCAAGGCCGCGCCTATGTGAGGTCGAGGGCCGCTGCGGCCGGCGCCCCGCGTCAGCGCCGGCGGCATGCTACGTGGGCGGGCCCTGCGGCCGGGGTGCAGCTGGGGATGAGCCGGCCCGCGGCTCACGTGATGAAGCGGTGGTGGAACAGCTGCTGCAGCGCCGCCTGGGTGCTCTTCACAACAGTGTCAAAGTCGGGGCTGGACGCGTTGAGCAGGGTGCACCTGGGCAGGGGTGCATGTGTGTGTGTGTGTGTGTGTGTGTGTGTGTGTGTGTGTGTGTGTGTGTGTGTGTGTGTGTGTGTGTGTGTGTGTGAGACTGCCAGCGTGGCGTCTGCTTGGCCATATTCAGACACGCTTGCGACTATGCCTTCAGAGCACATTCCGGGACTAGAGAGTGCTGCGCCGTCTGGTCCCCATTCTTAAGGTTCAGGGTGCTTGCCGCGCTCAATCCACGCGCGGCCGTCCGCCATCCCACCGCGACGGCACCCCACATCCGCCCCTTGCGCCCCTCGCACTTGACAAAGCGCTCCACATCGGCGGTGGTGCTGACCGCGTTGACCGCCACCGCCTCGAGGATGATGCGCCGCATGCCCAGGCGGCCTGGATGGTCGCGGTCTGGCTCGCGCAGGCAGCTGTGGATGGGGGCGGGCGGCTCCTGCGCACATAGGGGATTGCAAGTCCATGGCGACTTGGAAGGACAGACAGATGGATGGACGGCGAATGTGACTGGAGGTGTGGCGGGGATCCCAGAGGCTCTGAACGAGGAGCATGTCCAGGCATAACTTTTCACTTCTACGGGCAAAGGCTTTTCGATCACAGCCTAGTCTGTGGCTGATGCCACAAGCAGAGGGGTGCACGGTCTGTTTCAAAGCCCCCACCCCCAAAAGCCACTTGAACCACCCGCCCACCCGAATGAGCGCCAGGTTGTTGGTCAGGTTGCCCAGCAGGATGGCCTCGCCCTGAGAATCGATGCCCGCACGCCCCGCACGGCCGGCCTGGTGCAGTTGGCCGGAAGAGGTGAATGTGCAGCAGGCAAAAGCGCAGGCCGACGGCCGCAGGCTCTCACGGGTGTGGTGCGCGTGACTAGCCACAGGCCAGTCGCCTTTGTGAATGCGGCAGGGTGCCAGGACCGAGCAGAACGACTATGAGAAGCTGCCTCAGGACACGCCGCCACGCCCACCCCCCGAAGCCCCGTTTTTACTGCCCACCATCTGTCGGTACCGCGTGGCGTCCAGGGGGCAGTCCTTGGTGCCGATGTAGTTCTGGCGGAACACCACGCGCCTCACGGGCAGGTTCACGCCGGCGGCCAGGGTGGAGGTGGCCGCCAGGATGGACACGGCACCTTCAGGAATTGGGAAATTGCAGGTTGGGAGGTGGCAAGGGACTTGAACTTTGGGAGATGAAGCAGGGCAAAGGAAACAGCGCACCAGCCCTCAGGGCCGAAAGCCAGCGCAACCCCCCTTTCTGTAGGGGGGGGGGGTGCCCCTTGCGAGCAGGTCTCCGCCGCCACTCTGTCAGGCCGTCTGGACAGCGCGAGGGGCCGCGGCGCCTCACCGCACGCGAAGGCCCTCTCCACCAGGGAGCGCTGCTCTGAGGTCAGGTCCGCGTGGTGGAACGCCACCCCCTTGGGCACCACCTGGCGACCACGACCCACACAGTGCCGGCGGCGACAACGTTGTCAAGGCACACCAGGGCCGTCATGTGCGATTGCAGCAGCGAGTCTTGGGCTGATTCCGCATGCAGCACAATGCAGCTGTGGGGTCGGCCTGCCCCAGCCGAGCCGAGCAGCAAGCGGCGGCCGCACCTGCAGCAGCAGGTCCTGGGCGCTCTTGTTGACGTGACTGAGGCCCCGAAGCTCCGCCACCGCCCACTCCCGGTTGCTCGCCGCGCCGTCGCGCGCCGCCTCTTCGCACAGGGGCCCCGGGCGCTCGGGGACGTCCAGGCGCTCTGCCAGCAGCCTGGCCTCGTTCTGGTGGGGGATGTGTGCATGAGCCGCGGTGGCAGGCGCGGTCGAGGAATGTGCTGTGCTTGGGTGCTGTCAGGTCTGCAGTCGGCTGCTGGCAGGCGAGGGGCCGCAAAGCTCAGCAACCCACTGCGTCGCCAAAGGGCCACGATGCAAACGGTGATGGTCGGACAGGAACGAGGTCCAAATATTGGCAGTGCTGCTGGTGTGTGCCGTGGGCGCCCTCCTTCCTATGCCGATCCCACCTGGCAGCCGTTCTTGCTGTTGCAGAACATCAGGACGGAGTGGCCGCCCTGCACCGTCTCATGGCACAGCCATGCCGCCACCGCGCCGGCCCGCTTCTCGTGGTCGCGCGCGTCCATGTCCGGCCAGGTGGGCGGCGCGTCCAGCGTGCGCGCCACCGCGCCGTCCTCGCCAAACAGCTCACGCCCGACCTGCGGCCCCAGATAGCGCACGAAAACAAGATCATGAGCGGGCCGCACGTTGCACAGACGTTATGCTTTGTGAAGAGGACTTCCGTGTATTTCACATGCGGGCGAACGATGAGGCATCACTGCGGCTGGGCGGACCCCCCTCCCTCCCAAGGGGGCGCGCTGTGCAGGCGTTGGGCCTGCCCCAGCCAAACAGGGGCCCCACATGCAGGCCCGCATTATAGCTGACAAGGCGACCCACCGCCACGTAGTGTGCGAGGGGCACCGGGCGGTAGTCGGTCTCGTAGAGGGCCGCGTCAAGCCAGCGCGCCACAACACCCACGTTTGGGAGGGTGGCGCTCATGCCGATGATCTGGACCTGTTGGGGCAGGGGTTGAATGGGGTTCAGGCTCAGTACCTACCTTGGTAATAGTGGTCGCGCTCAGGCCGCCCTTCAGGATTTGCAAAAGCCATTCGGCTGACATCATTACTAACACACAGTGCCATCATGCACATACAGTGAAAAATGTTGCACGCACCCTCACGTCGCATGCAGTCACAGTCAGACGCGCGCGCGCGCGCGCACGTGCACAAACAAGCATGTGCATACCCAAGCACCCACAAAAACGCTTGTGCGCGTACCTGCTGCTCGTATTCGCTCCTCGACCCCGCCACAGCCTGCGACGACAGCATCGGGGACGACAGCCCCGGCCCGCCGCTCGACCCCGGGCTGCGCGCTGCGCCGGCGCCGCTCGCGCCGGCGGTGCCCTGCTGACTGGCGGTGGCTGCGGCCGCGGCCGTGGCGCGCTCCTCCTGGACCTTGGCCGTCTTGAAGCGGATCTTGGTCAGCATGCACTCCAGCAGGTTGCCGCGGTGCTCGTCCCCGACCTGAGCCCCGAGATCGCGATCCAGGCGAGCACGAGGTTGGGGCCGCTCGGCCGCGAGCGCCGGCGCGCGGCTGGTGCGCCAGGCGACGCCGGGTCTAAACGTGCCGCGCATGCCCCAGGGATGCACTTTCACAACGGGAGGCCTCTGAACCCCTGGAGCCAGGAGCTAAGGCACACCCTGATGCCCCAGGAGGACACAAGCTACCCCCACCATGTGCAGCTCGTCCACCACGACGCAGCCCAGGTTGTGGAGGCTGTCGTCCTCCAGCATGCGCTGCACCAGGGCGTGCGCCTTCTCAATGGTGCACACCACGACGCCTGGCGGTTGGAAGGATGTATGACGCAGGGGCGAGGCGGGGCTTGCACGCGCTGACAGGGAGGTGAGACGCGTTGAAAAGTGCAAGGGAGCGCGTTAGATGCAAGGCAGCAACTTCAAAGTCGATGCCCCTCGGTCATCCAGACCAGCCCGTGAGCGGCAGCACCCCTTGCAAAGAAGCGAGCCGGTTCTACGGCGCATAAGCCTGCTGCACTGCGAGCATCGCCCAGCCACACCCACCTACGCCCTGAATGTCCAGGCCGCCGTGCTGACCGTACAGCTCCTTGACCGGCCACCTCCCGCCCAGCACGCGGTCAAAGTGGGCCACCTTCTGCTCGCACAGCGCGCGGTATGGCAGCACCACCAGCGCCGTGCGCCCGGTCTGCAGCAGCCGCCGCACGGCCAGCGCCTCGGCCACGAGGCTCTTGCCGCCGCTGGTGGGCGCTGAGTACACCAGGTTGCGGCCCGCCAGGACGCCTTCGAGGCTCAGGCACTCGGCCTTGGACGACGGCGGATGCGGCGTGCGATGCGATGGGCCGGTAGGGCAACATGATGGCAGTGCCAACCCTCCTCCAGGCTACAATGCAGGTTTCTGTGATGAACCTATCCTCAAGTCGCATCGCACTTCACTGCCCTCGCGCACCCCTCTCCATTGCCCAAAACAGCTTTGGCTCCAAGCAGTTCCTCCCCCTTGTCACCTGCCAGGGGTAGAGCTGCCAGTCGCCGTCCCCCATGAACCCAGCCACCAGCTCCTCGTCTTCCATGTAGTCACGCAGCTCTAGCCGCAGCACCCCCGACGCGACGCCGTCGCCCGAGCCCGCGGCGCCCTGGCTGCCAGGCGCCTGGCTCGCGTTGACGCGCTGCACGGCGCGAACGATGGAATGGGCGCCGGCGGCGTTGACGTCATCGTCCTCGTCGTCGTCTGAGTCCGACATCACTTCTGGGGCTGCAGCTGCTGCAAGGGCAGTGTGTGCTGCTGCTGGCCCTGTCGTGCCAAAAAGCGTGTCAAGCTGCACGAGGGGCGCATGCCCGTCGGGCCCTGCGGAGGCGGCAGGTGGCCCGGTGGCGCCGGCAGGAACCGGTGCTGCAAGCGGTTCTGAGGCTGCAGGCCCCTCTGGCAGCAGGCCCAAACACGCTAGGCTTGCACCACCTGCTGAGGGCTCGCCAGGAGCCGCCTGCACCCGTCCGCCTTTCACAGGGACCTGCTGATCCCGCTGCTGTGGGGGCGCCCTGGGCTCCGCCGCTGCCGAGGCCGCGGCGGCGACCACGCCCTCCCCCACCACGGTAGCCATAACTGACTGCGCCGCGCTGGAGCGCTTGCCAGGTGATGCGAGGGAGCGCATTGATGTCACTGCTGGTGGCTGCTGCTGCTGATCTTGCTGCTCCTGCTGCTGCTTTGGTGGGTGCTGTGCGGCACCTGCAGGCATGGTAGTCTCTGTCGGTTGAAGTGCGCAGCCGTGCTGTCCCTGAAGCCCGCATCCAAAGAGCTTTCGCATGACTGGGGGTGATGGCGGTCCCGTAGGTGCTGCGCTGCCAGCTGCCTCAACCTTAACCATAAGAGGTGCCTGCTGCTGCTGCTGCTGCTGCTGCTGCTGCTGCTGCTGCTGCTGCTGCTGCTGCTGCTCCTGCAGAGGAGCGGGAGGAAGAGGCGCTGCCCTGGGTATCACCAGTGCTGGGGGCTGCTGAGGCGAAGCTGCCCTTGGCAGTACAAGCGGCTGCGCGGTCGCCGTGTGCGGCTTGGCAGGGCTCCGGCCGGCTGCGACGTCTTGCTGCAGCACTGTTCGCGCGGAGGCGATCTGAGGAACGAGCGGCGGCGGAGCCGCGGGCAGTGGTGGCAGCGCCAGGGGGGCTGCGGCCGGATAGGCCGACTTTGCAGGGCTGAAGCCCCTGGCGAGCCCTCGGCCGCCGCTGCTGCCACCCCCGCTGCCCGTCTTATCGACTTGCCGCAGCACCAGACGGGCCATGGGGCGGGGCGCGCCGGCCACATTGCTGCACTCCTGCTGAAGCTGCGCCTTTTGCGGCGGCTGAGGCTCCTGCCTGGAGCTCATGACCTTGGGCACCTGCCGGTGGCGCTCCGAGCGCCGCTCCGTTGCTGCCCTACGGCTGCCGCCGCCCATATTTACTGCGGCTATGCCCTCGCCACTGCTGCTGGCACCCTGATGCGGCGCTGCAGCCGCGGCTCCTGTCAGGTCTGCCCCGGTCCAGGCGGGCGCTTGGCTGGCAGGTTGCGGCGGACCCAGCAGCTTGTGCAGCTGCTGCTGCTCCTGCTCCTGCAGGCGCAGATGCTCCTGCCTCCACCGCTCCTCTCGACCAGCCTCCTGCTTGTGCTCTGGCTCGCTCTGCTGCTGCTGCTCCCTTCGTTGCCGCCCATCCAACTTCTTGTGCTCGCCAGGACGCCCTGTGTGCTGCTGGGCTGCCTGTTCGACCCCACTTGCCTGCAATTTATCCTCCAAACTCTTGCCCGCCTGCTGCTGCTGCTGCTGCTGCTCTTGTTGTTGCTGCTGATGTGGTGGCGGCAGCGACACAAGGGTCATCTGCTGAAGCCCCACAGCTTCCTTCTTGGGGGCCGTCTCCACCAACGACACATGTGGCACTTCCTCAGCCCGTGGCTGCCGCGCCAACAGCACAAGCTGCTGTGTGGCGCCTAGGTGCACTGGCCCCGAGTGCGGCAGTGGGGAATCCACCACAATGTCAGGTGGGGTCGCAGCAACTGTCTCCTCAATGCAGGCGCTGGCATCCGCCACCTGCGCCTGGGCCGTGGCTGCCGTCGCCGCATCTTCACTGGTCCCAGCAGCCGCCGCCCGCCGCGTGCGCTTCATGTCAGGCGTGACATCGCCCGCTGCGCCAGCCTTGGGAAATGCAAAGCCACCAAAGCCACCTAACGACGCCGCGGCGTGCTGCTTTTGGCTGGGGGCTGGGAAGTAAACAAGCGACGACTTTGGGGCCGCCTCCGCCTGCTTGTCAGACAGCGGGGAGCTTGGGACCACACAAATAGTATCAGACAGCGAGCGCGTGAGCCCTGCGGCTGGCGGGGCGTCCGCAGCTGGCCGCTGCTGCTCCTGCTGTCGCTCCTGACCGAGGCTCCCCGCACTGGCCGGCAGCGCGTCGAGGACGTGCGACGCCGGGTTGAATTCGTGCACTGGTGACGGCACTCGTTGCTGCTCCTGCCGCTGCTTCTGCTCCCAGGGATTCTGCGCCGGTAAAGTTGCTCCCAGCTCGTCCTCGGGCGTGGCGGGAACCACGTCAATTCCGCCGGTGCTGGGCGGGGTGGGGCCAGAGCCTGTGTGCTGGTCCTGCGAGACCGCCGCGAATGCAGCCTGCGAGTGAGTGTGGTACTTGACGGCTGTCCATCGTTGCAGCCGCCCAGGCATGAGAGCGCTGTGCTGCTGACCGGCATGCAGAGCCTTTACATTCCCTTAGGTTTTGTGCCAGGTCTCATTTCATATGCCGACCTGGGGGCCCGCACGGGTGACAGCCGCATCAGACCGCGCTGCGTGCCGCGAGCCATGGCCGTGCCTCGCCACCTTGCGCGGCTGCGAGAAGCCCTGCGCCTCCCACTCATCTGCTCCGTCCAGAATGCGCAGCGTTGCCAACAAGCCGGTGCGCCTGCGCTTGCCGCTGCTGCTCATTATGCAGCCATCAGTACGAAGGGTAACCGCGCGCGCCGTTGTCGATCACGCGCTGCTTCATTGCTGCAGCGGACCAGGTGCGCCACAGTTGCGCCTGGCTACGGCCGCGCCTGCCAAATAAGTTTGGACGGCTTCAATGATTGCGAAGCAGTTGCCTATGCGCGTGCCTCTCGCGTGTCGCCCGTGCTGGCGCCGAACTACATGCGAAAATTTTGATCAGAGAACATGGTACGAAAGCGGACAATATAACTACGGACGCAGTTCAACATGCCAAACACATATGCAGACTGTGGGGCCGAGCAGATGGCTGTCACTGAATGTCGTGCTGTGCACGCTGCGCCCGCCGCTGCTGAGCTGCGGGCAGCGATGTCCAAATGCTGGGGCACTCTACTCATGTGCGGACAAGTTGCATTCCCAATGTCGTGGTGTGTGTGTCGTCCAAAGTTACACAATATTAGGGGCGGGTGCGGGTGCATGTCGCGGCCGCTGGCCAGTTGCAAGCGCGCCCAACCAGGTCATAGATCAGCCGCGCTGGACAGGGCTGCACATATCAGCCCTGCTGGACAGGGCTGCACATATGCAACACCGTTGGAACACTGCAGGAACGCCGTGCAGGTGGCATCATAGCAGTTCGCGTACAACCCAGATGGGGCGTCTGGCAGAAGCAAGCCGCGGTGCTGCAACCATTGCTTGTGACTGTGCTGCTGGGGACGAGGCGAGGGAGTTAAAGAGGGAGGCGGCGAGGATGCGGCAATGGTGAAGAAGACGGCGAGGGAGATGGCAAGATGGGCGGCAAAGGAGATGGAGAAAGGGGTGGGGAAGGCGCACTCGGGGGCGAGGGGGAGGGGGTGACCGACCAGCTTATCAAGATGTCTGGGCAATTGGTAGTAGTCCTGCGCTGTGCTTCTGCTGCAAAACCCGGGGGGACCAGTGGTGAGGTTTGTCCTTGCAGTGGTGGTGAGAAGTGCGGGCGTCATGCAGAAAGGTTATGCAGACAAGGCCAGCAGTTGCTGCATTGCCTGGGGAATGCGTTTGTCCGCATTGCTGCCAGGTTGCAGGCTGCACGGTGCAGCTGACAACCACAGGGCAGCACTGCACAGACTGGACGAAACAAATCGTAGAAGTAAGTTGAAGGCCCTAAGAATGATGTGTGCTCTCACCATCGGCATAGGAGCCGCAGTACGTGCGGTCACAGCCGGTGGGGATGCAGGACTGCGTTGCGATGTGCTGCCACTGCTCGCAACACCACAGCGCCTGAGATGCCAGCAGGAGCATGTGCTGCGCAGGTTTGGCAGTGGTGGCATGTGTCGTAGCGCCCTGAATGCACACTGAGACAAGTTGGGGGCAGTTCGCAGGCGGTGTCATAGTGTAACCCAGCAATCTCAGCTGACTGGGCTGACTGACCGCACGCTCCCATCCTCGAGTTGGGCCTGGCGGCCGTGCGAGCACACTGCAGAGAAAACTCAAAGCTGTGGCACCCTCACATATAGCATGCTTGCCTGCCCAGTGTAGTCGCTGACAGCGGCGCTTGTGACCCAGGTATCGCGCTGTTCATTGTCTGCACAGACCAGGTGAGCGGAGGAGAAGCAAGCCTCGTCCAGCAGGTTGGTGGTCTGCGGGCACACACGGAGCACGAACTTTCCAGCGCTGTTGCGGGGTAAAGTGGGTGTTATGGGACGCACGTCAATGATAAATCAAGACGTAAAAGGGCCAGGGGGTGTGTGTCCTGTGGCCCTGGTGCATGAAGGGGGGCGAGGCACACCAGCGCCCGCCAGCTGTGAGCCTTGGGACAACGGCCATGACGCAGGACTCACTGGTTTGCGGTCAGCTTGACCCTCAAGGTGATGTGGTTCCGGGCAAACAGGTTTCCTATGAGGGGGATGGGCGGTTGACAAAGTCTGTCATTGCACCCTGGAAGGGATAGCCGCAGGGCCCAGGAATCTAGGGCGGAGCGCTCACTCCGAGGCCGTTGCCACTCTGGGGGTCGTAGAAACACCCCTCCTCGTAGGCCGCCCAGTTGTGGCTCCTTGGGGTCTGAAGATAGCCATGGCCCTTGCATGCAGGGGCCGCCGCCAGGGCCAGCAGCACCAGCAGCATGTGCAACGGTATGGTTTGGCTGGTGCCGCTGGGTGGATGCGGTTGTCTCGTGGTCATCTTGGCTGGAGATTGCCGCAGCGCCAACCCCAAAAGCAGCTGTCGGCCAGCCACCGGGGTGTGGAAATTGCGGGGCATGCTGGCCAGACTGGCTACCTTGAAGATATCTTTTCAAAAGGCTTCTGTGGATGCAAGATGGGTTTGCTGGCCGGTGGTGCATTTCTAGTTCTCTGCTGTTGGTTGATTGTGCTGCTGGTCGACTTGTGATACGGCGGGTATGTACACTACCCCACCTCACAAGAGTGGACAGAGCACGTCGATCCTTTCCATGCAGCAGGTGTTGGGTAAGGTCCGGATTCATCAGAAAGGGTCAGCGATTAGCTCATGTGACAAAGCTGTGTACAGTAGCGATTCGCGCAACCCAGCATGAAAGCAATTGCATGACTGCAACGCCGCAACGGTCGGCAGGGGTCCATGAGGATTCCTGGTACCGGGTTCCCGTGTTGAAATGAGGCTTCATATGTGGCTTTGCATCATTAATAAATTGTAGGTTGGTGGAAGCATCGCAACAGAACAGAGTGGGCCATGTGGCTGGCGAGTCCAGTCGTCCAGCACTTCAGTGTGCATCAGAGCATGCGAAAATGTCAGCGCTTCAGGCAAGCAGCAGACAAGCGTATCAGGATGTGTTATACATCCATGACACGAATGCACATTTATTGTTATGATTTTCATGCTTCGTGAAATCAGCACGCGGCCTACTCCTGGATTATCAATGGATCTCGGATCTACCAAAGTCCGCTAGATGCGATACAGCGCTCAGGTTTGCCTCGCAGGCCATGTGTCAGCCACGGATAGTAATTAGCCACTGGCGCCCTGGGAGCCCATCCGCGGCAGCGGCATGCGCAGCTGCAAGTGCCGTCCGGGCAACATACTGTACAACAACCCCTGCCATGCTTCAAGGCTGGCTGCAGCTCATGACCGCAAGGGACAAAGGCCGAACCGGTCACCACCGCGCTGCTGGCAGCTGTGCTTGAGTAGTAGACAGGCTCGCTGTAGAGTCAGCCATTGACTATGCGGTGCGCGAGGCGCATGGCGGGAACCTAGGCACAGCTTGAGCCACACTCAAAGGACTGGCGTCAGCCATGCGGGACGCAATTTCTTGGCGGTGGCGTGATCAGCTGTGGCTGCTACGCCTTGGGCTATTGCAAAGCAGCCCATGCGTCCGCCATGCAAGGCGGCCATGTTGGTGCGTGGACCTCAACCATATGGGCGGGCTGGGACCATGGGCACATGCTCTGGATGCATTGCTGTGGCAGTTCGATTGCATGAAGGACCTAGGGGAGCATCCCACCAACCCCTGCCCTCTAGCCGCTTTTCGCAGCACCACACGCACAGAAGTGCTGGCTGCCATGCGGCACCGCCAGATCACCCCACCAGCGCCGCAGGCCTGTCCATCAGAAGAATATTGCTTGTAGCCTGGTTCAGGATTGCTGTAGAGGTGATCCACGCAGCAACGGCACCCGGCATGGTGCAAATGAACTCGAAGGGTCAACAGCGGCACTCACACATGTGTTCAGCCTCCAGCACTGATTAGGCCTTTCTATTCGCCGATGTTACATTCGTTCATATAACCATGATGCACGAGGTCAAAACAGCTGGCAGCGGCTGAACGCGGGCTGAACACGGGTTTGATGGATACCAAGAGGTCTGCCGGGCCCGCAAACTTGCGGAGTAACTGCTGTTACCTGTGTGACTCTGTGGATCTGGCCAGCTGGGGCTTCCTGAGCACCACCAACCGCGCGCGGGTCAAACGCTGCTGCTGACTTGCAGCAAACGCCGCCTTGCTCTCTGCACCGCAGGTGGCTCGCCGCCGCTGGTGCTCATGGCCACTTCATTGCAGCCACCCTCAAGTCTGCCGTGGAGGCGCATCCGATCCAAGGGCCGGCTGTGCTGCTGGGGGCAGCGACAGCGATCGTGCACGCACTTGGCCTCAACATGCCTCGTGCAACTGGCCTGCTGGCAGCTGCGCACCTGCAGGCACGCATGCACGAGGGGCCTGTTGCGGCGCCTGTGGGACTGTCTACTCAGGAGGGTGAGCGATCAAGGGATTTGTGCAGTCTGGTCTGTGGGGAGCGCGCGCGCGTGTGCATGCGCCAGCGCGCTTGTGATTGTGTATGTTCACAGCTGGCGCTTGCGCAGGTGCCAACCTTGATCGTTGGCAGGCAGCGGGTGCCTGGGGGTTGAGTGCTCACATGTGATTTGTCCAACATGTCTCGTTCCGGCGCCCCGCAGCCCAGCCAGGTGCCGGGCAACCCCACATCCGCTCCTGCTCCACCTGTCCCCGTCTGTTGTGCGCCACCACCTGCGCTCGCGCCCTCCTGGCGTCGACCAAATATCCCAGGGGCCCCTGTCCTGACGCTCGTGGCGGACGTCCACGGCGACGCGGAGACCATGGCCAAGGCGCTGCTGCAGCACCTCGCCCCACTCGGCGACGCGGCCGTTGCGCCCGGCGCTGCTGCCGTCGCAGAGCCCCCCAAGCTGGTGTTCCTGGGGGACTACATTGACCGCGGTGAGTTCTCCGCTCGCTGCCTCAGGGAACAAGCAAGCGTGGGTTTCACAACAATCATTGGCTGCCCAACATGCAGCGCACGCCTCCTCACGCGCGGCTGGCTGGCTGCCGGCATGCTGCGCCCCGACCTGCAGGGCCCAGCAGCATGGAGTGCGCCATGCTAGTGTTCCTGGCGCGCATCGCATGGCCAGCGTCAACTCTGTGCCTCCAAGGGAACCACGGTGAGTTGTGCTGCACCTCAAACCTGCAGGCCTGCCGCCTTCAAGGTTGCGTTGCGCTCGCTGACACAGTCTGTCAGCATGCGGCTTTTGGCAGGCCCCGATCAGCTCCCGCCAGCCAGTCAGCCGTCGCTGGGCAGCCCCAAGCCCCTGGGCCACCTTCTGCACCCATCCATCCTCTTTCCATCGTCCACGCGCCCCATGCCCTTGCGCTTTTGCCCTTTGTTTCCCCGCCGCCAGAGGAGGCGCCACACATGACCTCCATCAACGTGGCCGGTTGCACCCTGGCGGCTGAGATCGGCCGCGCCTGTGGTGTCACAGATAGCTTCAACATGCCAGTCGAAGGGGGGATGTTCTCCAAAGGATTTTTCCCCATCACACAAGTTCTTGCGGCCATGACGCGCCTTGGCCAGGCGTGCGGCGCCGCCGGTGGCGTGGCGGGTGGCGGCGGCGGCGGCGGCGGCAGCAGCCACGTCGTGCCGCGAGTGTTCCTCTGGGAGTCGGCGCAGAACGCACAGCAGGAGGCCGCCGACATCGCCCTGATCGTCCACGCAGCGCTGCGAACGCTGCCCATTGCGGCGCAGGTACGTGATCGCCACTTGTTGTGAGGTTGCCGGGCCGCAGGTACGGGCGCAGCTGCAAGAGGTTCAAGTGTTCCTTGATCCCTCTTTGCGAGACCCTGACGCTGTGCATCCACCTCCACCTCTTCAAACAGCAAGCTCAATGGGTACCCCGCCCTCAAAACATGCTCGGCTCCCTCCACCATCAGGTGCCAGAGCTGCGCGCGTGGCTGGTGCACGGCTGCGTCGCAAGCCGCGGCATCTGGGAGGCCTTTGCAGCCGGCGGCGGTCCGTTTGATCTCATGAGCCGCACACTGCGCGGCACCTACGTGATCACCAGCGCCAAGCCCGACGGCACCCGCGCTTCTATGTGGCAGGTGGAGGCCTGGCCAATCTGGCACCCGCTTCTGGCTGTGCAGACGCTGGAGGCCCTGCTGGCTGCCAACGGCACTGCTGCCGTCATCCGCAAGGCGGACGAGCCGCGGCTGGCGGAGATCACCCGCGGCCATCCTGACGACTGCGGGCCGCTGCTGCTGGCCGCGCTCAGGACGGCGCACGCCAGCTGCTGGACCGACCCCGCGGCGCTGTCGCCTGGTAACGAGGACAGCCGACGAGATGGAGCGCACCAAATCTACGGGCGGCCCTACGTGACTGCAGAGACGGTTCAGGCGGCGCTGGGGCCGGTGAGAGGGACGGGGGTGGCGGGGGGGGGGGGGACTGAGGGACCAGGGCCCCGCCATACGATTTGTCTAGGGCAGGGCAGGATGCGAAAGGCACGCCCCTCCCCTGTAAGTGCAATCGCGACCCTTCGCTTTCCAGGCATCCGCCAGCAAATCCCTTTTGCTCAAGTGGAGCCATGCTCAACCCCTCCCATCTCCCCAACCCCCTGCTGCGCCAGACCAACGCCCAGCTCATCTTCCGCGGGCACTCCTTCAGCCCCACGGGGGTTGAGGTGGTCAGCCTGCCCACCGGCGACGTCGAGGACAAGTGCGCCCCCACCGCCGCCGCCTCAGCCGGCCTCAAGATTGTGAGCCTGCACTCCGCGCCGGGCCTCGGCGGCCCCGAGGGCTGCATGGCGAGCAAGGCCGTCGTGACGCGGCGCCCGGGCGGCGCGCTGACATTTTGCAGCCAGGACCTTATGAGCACCGCCGAGCTCTACGGCGAGCGCTTACTTGCCCGTCTGCTCACCGGTACCTTTCACGTGGACGACTTGGCCTGGGACGCCTCCGGCGGCGGCGGTGGCGGCAACGGTAATGATGGCAGCGCCGCAGGCGGCACGGGCGACGTCGGCGCGCCGCCGCGCTGGGCGGCTGCCGTGGACGCCAAGGCGGCGGCGGCGGCTTTGGACAGAGCGGTGCTGCGCGTGCAAGAGTCATACGGCCAGCAGGCACGCGGCGACGCGCTTGCCGCGCTGCGCTTTCCTGCGTACGCCCGCATCCTGGCCCGCGAGGTGTGGCCGGGTGGCCTGTGGGGACACCCGGAGGCCGCCGTGCTGGCGCGGGACTCCCTGCTGCACGCCGACGCCGCCGCCAGCGCCGTTGCTGCGGGCGGCGGCGGCGTCGGGGGCCAGCGGGCGCAGACGGTGGACAGCAGTCGCGTGATGTCCATGGCGCGGGTGCTGATGCAGGTCCCGACGCAGCCCGCGGCAAACGCGCTGCAGGCGCAACATGATGAGTGGAACGGGAGGCTGGAGGGCGCCCTGCGCTCATCCATGCTGGCTTATGGGCCCTGGATGCCGGCGCAGCTAGGGCCCTGCAGCGGCGCGGGGCCTGCCGCGACACGCGGCGGCGCGGCGGCGGCCGCCGCGGCAGGCGCCGGCTGCGGCTTGGCCGCTCTGATGGAGGACGGTTTTGTGCGCACCCTCCTGCACCAGCGCAAGCAAGGAGTCGCACAATCAAAGCCAGGGCAGCTGGCGCCAAGCGGGGCGCAGCCGCTGTCCACCGCCGCAGCCAAGACGGCCGCAGGGCGCGCGGCGCCCCGCGCGGCGGCGGCGGCAGCGGCGGGGTCGCTGCTGGCTGGCGCGGCGCCTGGGTGCGCGGGGCGTGCCGCTGGCGTCGGCAACGGCGGCGCAGCCGCGACTGCTGGGGGTGGACGCGGCGCGCCGCTGGGAGCAGCGACGGGCGCAAAGCCGCCGGCGCCGGCGCAGCATAAGCCCGGCGCAGCCCAGTCTGGTGGCACCCCAGGGGCGGGCGGCGCAGGTGCACCTGCAGCATCGGCCCGCACCCGCCCGCCCCTCAATTTGAGGTCGGCGCTCGCGGCTGCGCTCCGTCCCGCACCCTCGGCGGCGCTGGCGGCGGCGGTCCCCGAGCCCTTGAGCGCCGCAGCAGCCACGCACGGCGTCCCCGCGGCGGCCAGAGCGCCCGCGTCTGTGCCCGTGCCCCCGTCCAGCCTGCACCAGCGGGCTGAGCGCCCGGTGTGGCGGGCGGATGACCCGTTGGCAGAACAAGACAAGATTCTCAGGACCCTGGCGTCGGGGTCCAAGGTCACTGCATGCGTTAGCCGCGACTCGCGACCGGGGCTGCGGGTCGAGGAGGAGGGCGCGGCGCCGCGCCAAGTGTTTTTTGCGGACAAGGAAACGTGGTGGTGCTGCGGCGTGGAGGAGGGCAGCCTCGAGGTGGGCTCGGGCGTGAGCGTACCGGGCTGCCTTGGGCCTGCGAGCTGGGGTTTGGGTCGGCCGTTGGGGCATCCCGTGCAAAGGTTGGGCTGCTGCCGGGCCCTGAGTGTAGCTGGCTTGGGCACATTGAGCATGTTGAGGGATTAGTGGTGCGCATGCTGCTGCCAAATAAAAGCTCGATATGCTCACACCATTCATGCCATCACCGCTTATCCCACGCGGCATATTCAGGGCGCCTGCCGCGGCTGGGGCGTGGGTTCCAGCCAACAGGAGGCCGCCCGCGCCGCCGCAGCGGACTGCCGCAGGCGCCTCGTTGAGAGGAACAGCACATCAGCCGCTCGCCAGTGCCAGTCTCCGGCTGCAGGTAGCAAGCAGCTGCAGAGCAGGCAGCCGCGCACTTGGCAGGAGCAGCAGCAGCAGCAGCAGCAGCAGCAGCAGCAGCAGCAGCAGCAGCAGCAGCAGCAGCAGCAGCTGCGGGAGGTGGCCCAGCCAGAGCTGCAGCCACCCGCTAAGAAGCCGCGGCTTGAGGTTTACACCCCATTCGGCATGCTCGGCCCCAAGCCGCTGGATGCTCAGAAGGAGACAATGGATGTCGACGCGCAGGGTGAGCCGCCTCTGCGGCAGCCGCTCGCCGACGCGGCAGGCGCGGTCTGCGAGGACGCGGCAGTTGCTGTGTCTGCCTGCGCAGCAGACTGGGCCGCCTGGGAGGCGGTGGGCGATGACGACAAAGTCGCCCAGGCCTTTGACGCGGCTGCGCCCAGGCACTACGGCGTGTTTATCTGCATCAAAGGTGCGGTGGGCCAGTACGTGCCGCCGGCTGCTGGGCAGACCGGCGCGTCCACGTCAGCGGGCGTGCACCGAGCGCCAGCTGCGAGCGGCGCAGGCCGGGCGGGGGCCGGCGCAGGCGCTGGCGGCGGCGGCCGTGGCCGCTCCCCGGCCGAAATGGCAATGGAGCTGCAGCTGCTGCGCACGGCAGCGCGGCTCGAGTGCTGCGATGGGGGCGGCCCGAAGACGCACCTGGGCGCGGCGTACGCCCACGCAGCGCGGGCGGGCCAAGGGGGCCTGCGCGTCAGCGCGGGCCTGGTGACCATCAGCCAGGACGGCCTGGCCTCCGCCATACAGAAGCTCAGGTCCATTCTCCCGGCAGACGTGGAGGATGTGGATATTGCAGTCGGCCCAGACGCCACAGGGGGCGTGGCGGTGTGGGGCCCGGGCGTGGCGCAAGACGAGCGCGTGTGCCGGGCTGAGGAGGAGTTATGGTGTGTCTCCATAACAAGCGTGACAGGCCAGGTGGGCGCCGGCTCGGGCGGGTCAACGCAAGGGTGGGGGGCCCACAGGGGCGGGCCTATCACCATGAAAAGTGTGGTGACACTGTTCTGGGCTCCGCATGCAGCCCTTGACTCGCCGAGCAGATGTCTAATTTCGTTGTGGCCCCCAGACCTTGCTCAAGCTTGCTGAGACAACCCCACATGCAAACCACCCAACCTTGCTCAACTTCAGGGGCAGGCGTGCCATGGCTGGGGGCTGGATGCAGACCCGCTGCGCGCCGCACGGGCTGCGGCGTTTGACGTGATGCTGACGGCCGCGGAGGACAGCCCCACGCCGGGCCTGTTTGGCTGGTGCGGCGTGCGGCGCGAGCC